GCAATTGATGATGTTCTTGCTGTTTTTTGACGATGTTGATGCGACTGATGTTGTTGTTGTTGCTGATGCAATTGATGATGTTGTTGTTGTTGTTGTCGATGCCCATGCATATGATGTTGTTGTTGTTGCTATCGCCGATGAAATTGATGATGATGTTGTTGTTGTTTTGTTATTGTTGTTGTTGAATGCAATTGAGTATGTTGTTAGCGTAGGTATGTCTGTCAGGGATGTTGATTTTACATTGTCATTGCGATTGCTGACATGCGTTCATTTCTTTAATTTAAATTAACGCATGTTTGAATAATGTGTTAATCTGTGTATACTGTTTGACAACGCAGTTCATTTTAAGATGAATAACACATAAATAAAATATAACATACATGTATTATTACAAAATAAATACGTCCGTAAACATTCGTTTCTATTGTAAACTGGCAACCGAGCGAAAGTTTACATTGGTTCGTTCTGGGAAACAGTACAATAGAATGTTTATAATAACGTGCAGAACTATGCAGAGAAAATAAATCAAACTTTTGTTAATTCACCGCATGCACTAAACAGATCCATCCTCGCCTCGCAAAGAAAGAAGCTTGACAACATAAATTCGGATAAACACAAAACTTTCTTATTGTCTTCCTCTTCACTAACTTTTCTTTAAAATCTGCAAATCTGCCAATTTTTCTGAAAACCTTTTAACGTCTTTGAAAGGTTTATTGCCTTCAAAAATCTTTTTTCTTTTTTGGGCTTATGTTGAAAAAGATACCTAGTTTAATGTGAAATAACATTTTCGCTAAGACGAATTCGTAATTTTGAGAAACGCAATAATATAGAGTATATTTAATTTTACAAATTTAAAACGTAATTAATAATATTTAACTTTAATTTATGAAAATGAAGAATGACTAAACTTCCCACACGCTCACAGATGCTCACCCAAATAACGACATCAGACATAACGAGGAAAGCCTTGGCGAACGTTGGAGACATCTGCGAATCGATGAAGCAGCAAGTCATGAAGATGATTGACTGGGCCAAACTCATACCGCCCTTTAACGAGATGGACACTGACGATAAGGTCAGTTTCGTATTTGTCTTCTGTAGGTACCTCGTTGAAATACCTCTACATGTACTGTACATAAGAAGCGAAACTTTAATTTTTTTTAGATATGTTAAAACTCCCGGTGAACTCATGGATACATTTATAAAATATGCCTTTGCTTCAATATGATTCTACTCAAACAATTATTCAGATTTATTGAAAGATTTTAACGACTAACTTGTTGAAATCAAGTTGTGTAAAAATCGTAAACTAAACAGCTTTAAATACGATTTAAATTCGCGCTATTCATGCGTTTTTAAATGACAATATATTGTTAACAAGCTGGGGAATGAATTAATAAACAAAAATTTTGATCATTAAATTATTTATAACAAAAAATAATTAATAAAACAAAATTTAAAAAATTGCAAAAGGTGTCACTGCTTCGTTCGCACGCGTGTGAGCACCTGCTGTTGAGTCTGGCGAGAAGATCGTGCATGTACAACGAGACCCTCCTACTCTCCAACGACACCGTCATCACTCGAACCTCATTGGACAACGAACAGAACAAGATCACGTGCCGCATCATGGACGAGTTGATCCAACCAATGAGAGACATCCAGATGGACGAATCAGAGTTCGCCTGCCTCCTGGCCATCATCCTCTTTGACCCAAGTCAGCTCGAGCTGTATTCACTCAAATTAATTTATCAGTTTTCAAACGTATAAAAAGATAAAAATTGCAACGAATAATTTTGACAATCAATAAGCTTGTATGAAGCAAATTTATGAAATTTAAATTAAATTAAACATATTAAACAAAAATACATAATGGAAGAGCAGACGAAAATACATAGCAATAAATTTAATACCGTTTTAAAAACATTTGATAATTAACTTAAACTGCTCTAATTAATCACAAAAATCAGTAGATAATGTATAATGAATTGCGTGCATTTCATACGTAACCACCAGGCAGTCGAAACCTGACGATATCACATCGGATTCGTTCCCTGCGTTGGCAGGTGCAAGTGAACCTGGAGGATTACATCAACGACAGGCAGTACGATTCTAGGGGAAGGTTCGGTGAGATGCTGTTGCTGCTACAAAACTTACAAACTATCGCCTTCCAAGTCATCGAACAAATCAACGCTTACCGGTTGTATGCCGGACTCAAGTTGGATACTCTACTGCTGGAAATGATTCTGCAAGGTTCTCATTTTTTTATTATTTGTGTATTTAGTAGTTAATTTTTACTTTTATTGATAAAAAATTACCATTTTAACATGATTTCACCAAACATTATTTATTATACAAGATTAGGTTTTATCATATTTATTATTAATTGTTTAAAAATTAACATAGAATATGATGAACGTCAGCCAACCGGGTCGGTCTACCTGACACCCCCTCCTTCAGCCCACCTGTACAACCAGCAAACAACGCACGAACACAACTCTCCTCCCTTCGACGTCCACTCCAATGTCTGCTGGTCAAACATCGGCTCTCTCTGATTCAACGCTGCCATTTCTTCCCCCGTACCGAAGCTGTTCATGCTATATACAACATGCATACAAATACAAACGTGTATACTGTATATATCACCTTCTTTCAGGCCTATGTATTTATATTTCTGCCAATTTATTTGTAATAAAATGAACCGACCAAGATTTCATAATCTCATGAAAAGATTGAAAATTATTTCTTTTTTATTTATTATGCTTTAATGAAAAGTTCTCTGATCTTGTATGTTAGAGCGTTTTGTATTAATCATTAGATGGTGTGTTGTGAAGTTTTTATTTGCGTAACATTTTGTACGAATAAAATTTTTTTAATGAATGTTATTAAACGATTCGTCAAGCTGCTTAACCGATTTTGAATTCTCCAATCAAACAACTTTATAACAGAATGCTGACAGGTTCTTGTTAATGTGATTTGTTTTTAATCTCCACGATGTCTCTTAGTTATTCTTATTGTAAATTCATCAACACATCGCGTTTATTTTTCAGTTTTCTGTCAATATATTATTAAATTTATTTTTCAGTCATATACCACTTATTGTTTTGGGAATAAGAAACCTTACAGTTTTCAAAAAAATAATAAACCCCGAGTAATTTTTTCAATTTTTTAAAAATACCTATAATGCTTCAATTTAATGAATAGTAACTAGCCAACAGATTTTTGATAACATATTTAAATCACGAAAACCATGTAAACTGTTTCGTCTCTACTTTAGGGAATTTTAAAATTAAAATTCAATGCATGTATGTGCGTGCACGTATAGGTATATTCCGTCGGTGATTGATTTTAAAAAAGTAATTTTGGTTAGTGTATTTGTCGATCAAATGAGGTTTTTTGTTAAATTTGCTGCAAATAAATTAAACGTAGGAGTTGAGCTTGAATAATTCTACTTGCATTTTAGCTGTTTCGGATATTTCGAGGTTCCGCTTACAATGCTGCTCTTGTTCCCAATAAAGCTTATAATGAATGAATATACTGTCATTACATCATATTATTAGCTTATATAGTATAATTATAATTATTTTTGTAAGCTTTCGCCACAATCAACCGAAACCTAAATTAGAACTGCTTTTAAAAATCTGTGGGGTATCATTTTCAGCTCTTGCTCTCGGTTAAGTTTTTATCGCTAACTTTATACTTTTGTACTTTTCATTTTATTTTTTATTTGTTATAGATTACGGACATTAGATGAGGAATTCTCAAAATAGGCATTAAATGATGAATACTCAAAAGCACGGCAGATGATTTAACAATTGTAATCTCTACCATCACTATTTTGGTTGCTAAGCGCTGAAACTAAAATAAAATAATTTCAAAACAAAAATACACAAAGTTAATTTGAATGATGTTCGTTGCGTAATTAAAATCGAAGTTGAAATATATTTATTATAATAAATGTGAATTACAAAATTGGGCGGTGTAAAAATTTTAAAATTGGTTCCTTGTAAGTTCATTTGCTTAATTAACAATGAAAAAATGAAAATCGTACTGAAATAACTCAACGTGCACGGGCGTGAATGTTGGTAGGTAAGTTGTTAAGTACTTAAATTTTAAAAGTAGAGTAGAGGTGGTTAGTTTGGTAAGCACATGCAGGGAGCTTAGCCTAGTAAAGGAAATAGTAAGTATGGCTTCTTTGTCTTACCTTATTTATGTTTTTAGTTTGTTTTTAATAGTTGAGTTTTTAGTACAGTAGCTATTATATGATTTTACTATTTATATTAGTTATACATTATGATTATGTAATTATGATTACTCAAAAGATAATAACTCAATTTAAATTTAAACAGCAGACAGACACTGTGAATAATCTGATCCTGATACAATGTCAATAGTTCAACAAGTTGAAGTTCCTCGAAAACTTCCTGTGCTGAAGCAGCAAAAAGTTCAACAAAACCTTCATCGAGATTCTGAACAACAACAACAACCACAAAAACAACAACAGCATCAAGATCAGGAACAACTACAACAACAACATTGGGAGAACTCAACACCAAACTCAACATCAACAATTTCACATTTGAAGTTGGCACAACAGCAAAATAATGCCAACAAGATTGGCTTGAAGGTTGCATTGTATGACTTTTAAAAATAATAATGGATGCAACCTATAGTAACTTGTTCATTCACAAATTATGATCGATTCAAATTTCTAACTATGGATTATTCTTCTTTTTTTTTAATCAAATGTAATCAAAATTTGTTTATCATAATTTAGTAGTAATTCCAAATATGAAAATTATAAGTTTATAAAAACTGTTCTTTTCAACATTTTTAAAAATTGAGAATTATTATTTTTCATGGACCATTTCTGAAATCAAATCATTAAGGTAATGGTTTTATGATGCAAATATTAATGAATTTTCTACCCCTGTTTGAAAAATTATTCATTAAAGATTCAAATTAATGAAAATATCATTGATTGCAGTTATGGGGCCAAAAATATTAATTTATTTCATTTTATTTTAGAAAAAAAAGAAAAATTTAGATAACCACTCAAGAATATATAAAAAGAAAAAGAGGTTAACACGATTTTATTAAACAGTGAAATGCATGCAGTTGATACAACAGCAATTAAATGTATGCAATTATATTCAGCATAGGACTATCAAATGACCTTGAGGGCATGGAGGAAGATGTTCAAAGTACGAATCAAATATTCAGTGTGAATGATTTTGCAAAAATCATATCCCAGCAGTCCAACACAGTCCCAAGTCAAGCTGATGATAAGATTTACATTGAAGGATCAGGTTTGCTATTATTAAACTGTTTCCTAATATTTTTTACTAGACATTTTCGTTTCATACCTTTCTTCAATTTTAGAATATTTTTCATTAGTTTTAATGTTTTAGCAATCAAATTTTAACAAAAATTGTATTGATTACTCAAAATAATTTGTCATAATTTATTCAAAATTAATTTGACAGACAGGTTCAAAGCGAAAAATCGTTTAAAAGTTGACCAGAAAAGAGCAGAGGAGCTGGAGAGGTCTCAGAATGAAAACATGGACATCTATCCAACCATACTGACCAGTCAGGCCATTCAAATCCATAAAATATTCAAAACTGTAATTTACGTTCACCTTTACATTTTGATGTTCCATAATTGCTTATTTTTCTACAGCTACAATCTTTTGTTATTTTTTGACGTTGTTTTTTAGATGTTATCATCTATCTAAGTTAAGTAAGAGACTTCATTATTCCATCACTATATTAAATAAAATTAAAATGGTTAAAAATATCTGGAATAATTTTGAGGAAAAATACAAATTTGTAAAAGGGTATTAATCTAAAACAACCTTACAGTTCTCACTGTTTGTGAGTGGTCTGTTTGCCGGCATAGCCCTGTGGCAGATAATAACATCGTACATCATGTACAACAATGGTGTTGACAACTTCCTGAGAAATCACTCAACATTGTCTGCACCACTGCAGTGCTTCTACTACATGCTCTTCGCCGTCTGCATCGTCTATGCACTAGACAGGTTGGACGACTCACGGCACGATGGCTGCGTGTGTTTTGTTGAGTGAGTGAGGAATATGGTTGGAAGTATTTGGAATAGTTGATTGCAATATAGACTAAACTATAAGTTTAATTAGATTTTATAGCTCTTTATGTTATTCATTGTGTGTTGTTTGCTTTATTTTAACCTCTCTACATTAGTTTCCTTATCATTTTGCTTTGATTGCGCATCATATGTTTCAAATACGAATGTGTGTTGATATTTTTATCTCTTTTAATATTTTTGATGCAATCTATATTAAAACATGTATTAAATAAAAAGCATTTCATTCTATTTCATTAAGATTCCGAAACAAAACGAAACAAACCCGTCATGCAGATACTAATACATGCATGCATAACCAACTTCTGATCCGGCTACACTCCATATATATTGTTTACATAAGTAAGTACATTGCATGCATACTGAAACGTTGGCCAGGTACGACATCACCCACCCCTCACCTCACTTCTGGAACAAGGTGGCCACATTCCAATCAGGAGCGTTTTGCATCATCATCTACATCATCGGACTCATCTTTTCACTCGCTATCTCAAATATTGAGTACAGGATGACATTCCATCAATCAAACTCCTCCATAATTGATCCAAATGTTTGTATTTTTCCTCTGTCCATCCTGTTCCTTGTTTGCTTATTTGTTCACTTGTTCGTTTGTTCGTTTACACATGCTCTATCTTTTTGTTAAAAGACCTGGGAGACATGTAAAAAATAACTGCGACTTTGTAACATAAAGTAATTTAAATAAATAATAAACTAGTTGATTATTAGAATTTATAGCTATTTAATTAATAATTATTTAATTATAATTAAATAATAAATGAATGATTGACCATCCAGGACAGCAGGACAACGAACATGCTGTACATCTGGCAGATATTAAATCTGATACGAGGCTTGATGGCCATCATCGGTTGGGGGATCATCTCGTTGAAGCCAATGACAGACAGACTTTTGAAGGCACTCTCCAACTACAGGCAAACCGTCAGTACAGACCCTGCTCTTTTTGCTGCTAATTTCACTTGATTCCCCATCTTACTTTCTATCTTCTACATCGGTACTTTTTACTAATTTTTGTTGTCGTATGTCGTTAAGTATGAGTCGTATGGTATGTTTGTTGTTTTGTCCTGTTGCGCGTGGTCATTTGGAATTTTGTCCTGCTGGTTTTTGTTGTTTCATCATTTGAGAAAACGTTTCTTGCAATTTTCAGTCTCACTCATATATAACTTAAATTTTTGTTTTTTTTTTGTGATTTAATAACTTCTTCTTTTTCACTTAATTTTTAAATCATTTGTTTTGACTCTGTTGCTTCCATTCATGGCTTGTAGTTTTATTCACGTGCTGTTTGTTTTATTGATATATTTTAAAACCGTTTTATGTGGTGACAGATCACTTCGAGTCGAGATAATCGTGTTCTCATTTGAATCAGAATTTTTAGGAAAATAAATTTCAAACTCGGTTTACCTTTTGTTTCACTTTTTATTGAATAAAATTTTTATTCAAAAGAACGTACAATAATTCACGTTAAGATATATGAAATGAATTTGAATAAAGATATATGTACAAAGTTAATGTAGAGACACCATAGACACGTACATAACAAGAAGTTAGTTGTCGGGTGGTAAGAGCCGCTCGATAGATGGCGGAGGTGTTATTGCAACTTTTAAATGTGGTGATGGTTTCATTTGTGGTTAAATAAAACAACAAGAATTTGGTGATTAATGATAATAAAAAAATAGCAATAATGATTTATGATTGAGTTAATTTTTTTGATTAATTATATTTGAAACACGATTCTGAATTAGGATTGATCCAATATGGGGTCTGGGGGACGACGTGGTGTAGATGAGGTGCATGCCGTTGGGGGTCTTGCTTACCATCGTGTCCGTTCGAACGTTCAAACATGTTGTTAGTCGGGAAGATGAATTTTTATGTTGTTGTTGTTGTAAGTAAGCATGTTGCGGCTGATGTTGTGGTTGCTGTGGTGCGACTTGTTGATGTGGTGGCTTGTTAACACACTCTGACATCTGGTTTTGTGCGCGTTGTTGATGTGTTGGTTGAATAAAGTGAGCGTGTGTGAATTTAGGTTGGTGATAAGCTGGTGACGATATGTTGTGAGGTGTGCATGCAGTAGTTGATGAAATGTTTGGAGGTGTGAACGCATTCCTCGATAAGATGTTGCTCATTTGCTTCATCACTTGTTCTCCCCTCCTCAATAACTCCTCGTCCTGGCTCTCGTTCAACTTCTGCATAACTGAAATAAAAACGAGTTGATTTTCAAAAAAGATGTTAAACGACAATGATGAAATTGTTGCTGATGCAAACGTGCAAACGAATATAATCATCCATTCGACCTCAAGTGTTGTTTCTGGAGTTTAAAATTTTATTACAATGCCTGAAATAATTATAAAAACTAATGAAAGATATATAGAAATTGAATTGAGTTGAAAATAGGTAAAAATATTAAACTAATGAAAATCTTTGCATGACACTAATATGATGATGTGGACCGCCATGAACAAATTTCCCGAGCCGTTTTTTTAAGCCAGTCGTCCAACCCTGAACTTCACATGAACAGAACGCAATTATAAACTTGTTCAAAGAAATTTCTCAAAGCAAAACATCCATAAACATTAACATGATCGCACTTAGCACCGACCGATGTGTACATGAACCAACCGTCAACTGAATATAAACATATTTCTGCAAGTACAGAAACAAACCCACGATAAATTAACAACACCGCAACACAATTTGCACACCAGGTGCAAACTAATTACGACCTCTGCACGTCTAATGATCAAAACTTGTAACTACTCGTGTTAATGAATGAATACCAATGACGCTTCCACCGATGACGTTTGGTGCACACTCACGCTTCCTCACACACACACGCACGCACACATACGCACACAAATCCCAGTACATATGCACGCACATACACGCATTTACATATATAAGTATATAACGCTGGTAGGAGGAAGATTACAATGTGTAATATAAAGTGTACAAATGTATGTATTTTGTTGAAATCAATGCCCATTGTTTTATTGTTCAAATTTCTGAACATGTTTTTAAGCTTTCTATTTTATTTTTTCATAATTTGAACGAAAAACTAATTTTATTTTAATAAAATCAAGTAATTTTTTCATAAAATCGTGAAAATAAGAAGAAAATAAGAAAGCTTGGAAACTTGTTCAGAAAGTTGAAAAATTCAAATCGATCAATTTTAACAATATGTGTACCTAAGAAAATTGCCAAGCTATACTTTACCAAAGTGTACACACGCGCATACAGGCACGAGTACATACACAAACACACATGCATATACACACAAACATATGCGTTACAAGAAGAATAATCAGATCTTCTACTTTAATTTTAAACATTACATATTCTGACTGAATGACAAACTTTGCAGCTTTAAGGCGAACTTGTTATGAATTCACACTAACAATTAATTCAAAAATTAAACCCATCGAACTCTTAGACTCACTTCTATTATTATTGTTTAATGATATTTAGTCCAATGAAAGCTATTGAATTTATTTTGAAAATTGTTTCTAACGATATTACCATTCATTATTATTGCCATAGTAAATAAACATTTATTGGAAGGTTTTATGCGGTTCGCATCAATTTTAATTGTCACAATGAATCGTTGAGGCGCCGAACCGAAGAATCCTGCAAATGTACGACCAACCAGCAATTTATTAATTTAAAGAAACAATTAACATAAATTGTTGGAACCATTAGGAAAATTAGTCCGAAGATTTACCTAGCCAATAAACCAAGCAATAACACTAGGAAAATAGTTCAGTATTCAACACTTAATGAAATGTTATTCAAATGCCCTAACAAAGCAGAAGAAATTTTCATGTGCTGCCACCAAAGTGTGGCTTCAGAGGATCTTCTGGATTTAACTGTCAACATTTAGGCATCGTACGCATATCAACATGCATGTGTACAGAGTAAGACATTTCACACTGTATTGAATATAATATGCGGATTTATCTTTGTACAATTAGCACTGAATTATAAAATGCAACTAATGCCTTCTATGGGACCAATATTCTTTTAAACAAATATGTAACCCACCCCAAAAATCTTAAAACCAGTAAGACGCAAAATATTCAAGTGATAATGTGTGAGGAACACACAAACACACACGTATACACACAACACACACACACACGCACGCATGCTCAATAATAACAAAACAACAAACGTATAGATTTCGATAGATTTCATGCGTTTGTGCTCCACTGTGTACAACGCGTTTATCTGCAAATAAAACAAAGAAATGCAATTCCACACACACACACACACACACACACACACATACACACACACACATATATATATATATATATTATATTTATATCATGGTGAATCATGATTTTGAGTCAGATAAATCAAGCGAAGATCGCTGCATGCTGTTTCAACTTGACAACCCCTACACTTATTTATACCAGCTCACTCACACACTCACTCACACACTCACTCACACACTCACTCACACACTCACTCACACACTCACTCACTCACACACACACACACAAACAAACAAACATATCACTACAAGACGAGCAAAAATATGGAGAACTGTTCAACAAATGCACACGTGCGTACAGAAATTGCTTGATATGTCATTTATTTGAGTGTAATGAGTGACAGAACAATTAATGTGTTTATATAATACACATCCATTCACTCACTAATTCCCTCATTCATTTATTCATTCATTCACTTACTCACTCATTCACTCATTCCCTCATTTATTGATTCACTCACTCACTCATTCATTCACTCACTCACTCACTCATTAATTAATTCATTCAATTATTCACTAATTAATTCATTCATTCATTCATTCACTTGATTGGTGGCCTAGTACCCCGGTTATTCAACTTTCATAAATATGCCAAACGAATCACCTTTATAATAAAATTCATTTTAAATTTCTGATAGGAAAAACTTTTGTATGAATATATTTTTTAGTCTTTATTATTGCAGCTCCGACATGCGCAGAACCACTTAACAATGTTACAGATATATTATCTATATATCTTTATTTATTACGTTCTTCATGTCTTCAACCATTGATTTGAAGCAGCCATCTTCGCCACAAATTATAAACAGCTGAGCGTCAAAAGCTTCGCGCATGAATCTCAATGGATGGATGGGGGAAAGTTGATCTCAAAGAGAACGAAAAAAAGAAAAAAAATAAGTTTGCGTCTGCATGTGTAACTGTTTCTAACGCAGAGGAGCATTCATACACATATAAACATTGAACTACTGAACTTTACACACACACACACACACACACACACACACCCACACACACACACACACACACACACACACACACTAATACACACACACACACACATCTAGACGCAACATACCTACATAAATGTTCCACCATCCCAACCATCCATTCATACCTCTTAAGTGCCAATGCCAGTAAGACAAAGTGAGTACTTGAGTATGTGCGTAATGTATACAACAATATATACGTATAACAATTCTAATATATATATATATATATATATATATATATATATATGTATATATATATATATATACATACATGTGTGTGTGTGTATGTATGTATAAAATTATGTGTATTACACTTGTACATTACAATGTATGTACAGTGAATGAATGAATGTATGTAAATTGAATGAATGAATGTATGTACATTGATACAGTAACTGAGTTTGTGTGTTTAAGGTAGGTGGTTCAAGATGTTTAAAAACAAAAAAAAACAAAAAAAAGATTAATTAATTAACTAATTAATTAATTAATGACTTAATGAGCAAACGAACAAACGAAAGAATGGTCAAATTAGTAATTGAACGACTGTTAAGCAAAATTGTGTATGTTTGTAGCATTGATTTCTATAGGTAAATCTATAGGTATATATATATACATATATACATATATATTATATATATATATATATATATATTATATTATATATATATATATATATATATAAAGGTATATTGTATAGATGCCGATGGTTTGTAGCACCCCCATCGTCTTCTAAATTTCTAAATTACATATACATGATTTTGTATTTGCATAATTTCAAGTACTTCAATAACATTCATACACACATTCATACGCTTTCTATTATTAATATATAAATTAATATATGAATTAATATATACACACACACGTACGTACGCATACGAAGCGCACTGACACACACACCACACTCACACACACACTCACACACACATGTAACACAGTGATACAGACAGATTGATAAATACTTACAAGGACATTATGAAACGTACCTGGCGCTTACTAACACATTGATGAATGAATATTCGGCGGATTGTTTAATTGACTGCTCACTTGCTTGCCTGTTCTTTAATATTTACTAATTCATTCAGTTGTTCAATTATTCATT